TTTTTTTTTTTTTTTGTCCCAAATTTGTTTTTTGCGTCTATTTCTTCTTTGACGGATTTTGTTGTTTCTCTGTTTGTTCTGAGTTGTAATAAAGTAAAGATGACCAAGGGTTTCAAGCAAATTGTTTTATGGAAACATTCTTTCCAGCAAATACTAACAAACATTTTCAAAACCGCTCTATGATGGCTTGGATTTCACTGACAAATGAAGTTGTAGAAACCATGGCTGCCAGTTATGTAGACAACCAGTTCCAGTTTGCTGAGATGAATATTCGTTATACGGGTAATATGGAGAAGTTGCTATCATTACTGCGTCGAGCGATTCGGATGGGGTACGATAGCATTGTCGTGAATACGGATGTTGGTGACCCTGAGAATAGCCCATGTGACGTTGTAAAGATCGTTTTTCGATTAGTAAATCTAGTTGTTCAAGTAGGGGGGGTTGAACTCACAACTGTTAACTGTTTTTGCTTCTGGTCAAGTTGCTGCTCAAGAATTTATTGGATTCATGGGGGCATTAGGGGTAGTATGGTTTTTCAATTATTTAATTTAGTTAGAAGAGGGAATGGAACCCCCACGTAAGAAAAAAAAGAAAGGGAAGAATATAAATCGGGAAAACGTCATTCCAAATCCGGTTGAAATCGATAAGTCTTTATTGAACCCAGCAACGACTGAAGCGAATGGAAAAAAGCTAAGGTTGTTCAGGTAAAGCGTTTCATCTATCACTTAAGTATTAGCAAAGAAGCGAATTAAGCATTCAAGAATGTGCAAAAAATTGTAATTTTAAGACTGTTATTTTTTGTTGTAGTCGTCTTACGGTGACTGTTTCTGACACTACCGACATGCATTTACTTATGCATCATCCGCAGGTTCGCAAGTATGATATCTTGGCTATAAGGACTACTGGAGAACAGACGCTACAGACTTTAAGTCGAAAAGGAGACTTTGTTGATATCGTTACCTTTCACCAGAATTCCTCTCCTGTAACGTGGCTTACTAAGAGCAAGGTTTTTTTGTGGAGTGATTTACTGTAAAATTTTTTTGCTTTGCTTTAAAGAATTAATTTTTCCGCACTTTTCTTAATTGGGATCTCTATGAGGTTAGGAAGAAATTGGTTAGGAATACACTGAAAAACCTCTCAAGATCATTTTAGAAATTATGTGATATTAGGTCACTGTTTAACTGCCAGGCAAGCCGCCAGATAGCCTTTTAAAAAGAGGTTTAGCTTGTTGGGCGTTTCAAGGACTTGTTACACATCTATTTACCGCTGTTTCATATATAAGTACTTTTACTACCAGTTACAGTAACTCCTTAAAAAAATTTCATTTTTTTTTGGATACTGCGCTTATAAGTTTCATGCTTTTTAATTTCTCCGTTCAAATCAGTCAATTTTTTGATCACTGGTACAGCTTATCAAGTTAAGCGCACTCGTGTGAGTGACTGATTACTGTTCTCATTCGTGATTGCTTTATTAGTCTGTCTCCTTTCTCTTTTCTCCATTTTCAGTAACTTCCTCTTTAGGAATGTCTTTAATAACGTTGCTATCCTGATTACAGAATTGGACGAGCCATTATTTGGATCTTACTGTCTTATTCTTGGTGCCACTTTCGTTCTGAGCAAAAATTATTCATTTTGGGTTAACGTTGAGTGGCCATATATACTTTTTTGCTACATTCAGGTTTTAAGTGCAGCGTTTTTGTTATGCATCTCGTTCTAATTCATCTTATTTAGTTGATCCAGTCATGTGTTACGGCAGGCATTTCTTTCGAGATAAGTTACGCTGAGGCCTTGAAAGATTCGAGTCGAAGAAGATCTGTAACAATTTTGAACTGTGTTAAGCCTTCTACTGTTTAATTCAAGAATAGAAGATTACAAAACAAAGAGAACTGATTTCGTAAAAGAATACTTTAATTGCTTGTCTATCATACTTGAACATTCCAGCACATTTTTTAGTAGGCAGAAATAAAAGCTAAAAGTAATTGGTTGTTATATATAACTGTATCAATGACAGGTCTTGACTACTGGTAGACAGTTAATGGCAGCAACCCGGGGTGGTCGTGGAGTTATTGTTGACAGTGGCGCGGAGGAAATGATTGATCTTCGGGGTCCATACGATGTCGCTAATCTGAGCATTCTCTTCGGCATTAGTTCAGAAAATACGAGAAAATTACTTTCAGGTTCTTCGTATGTCCATAAAGTGAAAAGATGGGGAGGAATGTTATAGCAAGGAATAAGTCACTTTACTTTTAGTGAGAAGCGGTTTTTGCCAGTATTTATCACAGTAATTTATTTATACCAATACACAGTTTTTTTTAGGGAACGCGAAAAGTGTTTTACTTCGAGCTGAAGCCAGAAAGACACTAAAGGGTGCTTTAGCAGTGACTGAACCTGACGCGATACCCTCTCCATCGCTTAACAGTAAAAGCTGTCTTGAACGGTTAATGAAAGTTCCGGAGTTTAGAACTCAAATAGAAATATTGGCAGAAAAGAAGGACGAAACAGCAGCTTTGTAGTTCATTAATATAAACTATAGCATTTTGATGAACTCTGCAAGAGAAATTGACTTTTTTGTGATGTGTCATGTAATTTTAAGAAATTTTTTTCAGATTTCACTGCAATTAATAACAGAATCACTAAATGTCTATTCTTAGATTATTTATGGATGAGAAAGTCAGATTCTTAATGCTTTATAATATTCTGATTGACTGCGAGTTCAAATGTCAAACCCTAATTATCTCGTTTTTCTTGATTTTGATAGAGTAAGTTGTAAACCACTTTAGATGGTTTCTCGCCAAACTTCATTTCTGTCGTCCTTTTAGTTCGTGCAATTTGAAGTATAAGAAGCATAGGTTCTTACTTTTTGCTTTCAAGTTATTTTTTCATTGTCACCAACTTTCTTCTTTTACTTCTGTTCTTGTTACTGTTGTTAATCTTTGTTACACAAATGGCCTAAATCGTTAAGAAACGTACGGACATCTTTTGGATTTACAAGTACTTAACTTGTTAATTTTGAACAGTACCTACGGAAGCAACAATATTAAACCATTTTAGTAAATGTCATTAAGACTTTGGAAGGAGGCAAGATAAATGCGGACAGTTATTGCTTATCGAACCAAAAAAAACTTTTAAGACGTCGAAGAACTGGTCATTTTTACTTCATTCGATACCGCCATCTTTAAAGTCTGGTCGATCTTGTTGTTAGCATATATCAAGTGATATTTACAGTTTAGTGGTAACACTAATCTGTAAGCAACAGGCGGAAGGATGTGTTAGTGATGTTTTGAGATAACGAGTTCTTTTACGTTTCAAGTGGTCTGTTATTGGCGGGATATGGTAAAGATTTTTTAAATGGGGATCAAAAATGCTGTAGTATTCAATTATGAAGTCTCTGGTCTTATCGCTGCTTCTATACATTGTGGTTCTCTCCTATTTGGGATAATCAGAAAATCCTGCAGCTTCAGTTTCAGCGCTGTAATCGAGAAGGCTGTTACATATTTTGACATATTATGGATCAGATGCGGAATTTATTCCGCAAAACTGTGTATCGTTTGAAGCAATTGCTGCGCATAAAGGGTCCACGGTTCCCTGTCATTTGGGGTACGTTCCTTACTTGGACTTGTGGTTTTTTTTTAAATTTAATTCATGGGTGACCGCAAAGTATGCTGATGAAGGTGATTTGCTACGTTAGCAAGTAACGATTTTATTGATGGTTTAAATGTTACTTTGTCACTGTATTGTAGGACCACCGAAAGTGATATCATTACCATCAGCAAATTTTAAAAAAAAATTAAACGCTGAAGAACTTTCAAATTTAAACGCTATTATTGCTGAAGTTAAGGTATAATACTTTTTCCAAATAATATTTAAAGGCTTTCTACAAGAATTTGTAAACTTGAAAATATACAACTTAAGCTACAGTTCTGTTATTGTTGCAGCTGTTTTCGAGATGTTATCGATGGTTTCCCGACAAGGTGGATGACAGCTTTTGGAAACGCCTTTTAGAATGTCAGAATCTAAAGCAACGATTACATCAGCTACGCTTTTGGCATGTTAAAGAAAAACTTCGGAAAAAAGAATTTTTAAAGGATGAGAAACGAAAAAGGGACGCAGTAGAGAGAAGACAGCTGGGGGAGGGTGCAATACGTAGGGATTCTCCTCTGTTTCTTCCTGCGATTAAACTAGGCAAGCTAATTTTCATTAAGAACTGTCAGTGATGGTCTTTTTTTGGTTCGCAGATTTGAGGTCCTAAAAGCACCGTATTTTCATTTGAGGTCAATTATTGAGTTCTGCGATCCGGAAGAATAAAAAGCAATTTTAATTGTCTGTTTCTCAACTCCCACCACTAGCCCTTCAAAACTTTTATACACAAATTTATAAGCAAGCGGCACTTGTCTCTGAGCTTTTCCTTTTTAATTGTGCAAGAGCTTTAAGAAACTCTAAAATCAACGGAATCTTTTGTTTTTTCAAAAGTTATAATAATATCTACTGATAATAATATCTACTTTCTCGATTATGACCTCATTAAAGTCACCGACAGCTTTGAGGAGTAAATCTACAGTTAAAGTAATAAAAAACGACAGTCCGTCGTCTCACATCATCTCGCTTCTAGTAACTGATATAATGATTTTTACTTAGAGGTAGAGCCGTAGTGATAAAAATGATCGTTCCACTTACGACACTTGGGGACAAGTTCCAGTGATTTTTTTTCAAGGTCTTGCAGAAAATGTTGAATCAAATAGAGTAATTTTTTGTTGCGTCATTTTATTTCTTACTTCCAGACCGCATGATTAAAAGAGAGTGGAAACTCCGTTACTGGCGCTCACTTAATTTAGAAAAGCTTCCAGCTTTAGCAGTTGATTGCCAATTTCTGAAACTTCATTCACCTCGTGCACGGTCACTTGCTTTCATTCAACTAAGGGAGATGATTGCTGAAAACAAAAGTCGGCACCGACCATGGCCGTTATACTTTTGCAACGAAAACCTTAATGACCCTATTCTTTTGGAACATCGTCAGAAGTAATTTTCTTGTTTAAAAGTTGGAGCTCTACTAGCTGTGTAGAAAGCCATCATCACTTGAAAATTTTTTAAACTCTTGTTCTTTGCAGGCAGTTACACTTGTTAGATTCGGACGGGTTGATTCCAGTGGAACTGGTTCCAGATGATTTCAGACAGTTCCTCTCGAACTTTAATGCTATCTACTTAAGCCCTCATGCGGAAGAGGAATTACTCGAGGTTGTACGCCTAGACATTGTAACACCTATTAGAGTCCTAACTATCCATCTAAGCTTTCATTTGAACCTTCCCATCAAACCTACGGTTCCACCTAACTTTAGACTTCAATCAAAGGA